GTTTTCTAATTGGCTAGTTTGCGTCAATCCAAAATGTGATTATAATACCGGAACGAATTCAATACAATCCATGTAATATCAATTCGAACAAAATACTCATTCATTATTGTTCTATACACGATTGGACATAGGTTGTTCAGGACCAGACTTCTTAAGGACCAGACCGGGACCACCATTTCTACCTGTGTAAATAGAAAGGGTACTGTCACGATATAAAAAACTTCACTTTCATTTTTTTGGTCTCTTTATAAACCGATACACAAATTTGATTGAATAATGGCCTAACGAATGAAATGATCAAGGTCATATCAGACAAAAAATTTAAATTCTAAGGCGGGTGGATTATTTCGATGAATCGAGATGATCCCCGACTCAGTGATCACTTTGCAAAATTCGATTATTCACGCTAAGAGGAATTGAATCATTGTCTGATTTACCATGATATATTTCAAGCTGATTAAAATATACATATATTTTTTTATATAAGAAGTACATGAGTGACGCAGAGAGAAAACCAGGCTTTGAGCTTTATTATTTACCGGACTCAACCTTGATCAGAGATATGCAACGGTAAGTAAACTTAACGTTAATACGTGACATATATCAGGGCTGAGTCGGGTAAATAATAAATAATAAATAATAAACCTGAAAGCTGAAATCTGGTTTTCTCCACCAGGTTAGGAAAAAGACAATCACATGAATTTTTTGCAAATCATATTTGAAGAAGGAAAAAGTTATATTACACCAGATCTTGAAATATGATTGGCTAAAATAAAATTTGCTAGATGCATCGTAATTTAATGTCATCTTACCATTTTTGAATAGGTGTAAAGTTTGATTAAATGCTTCGAAGCCATTTTTTTGTCTTGAAAAATTATTAGACTTTTCGAGACAATCAAGCGTCTAAAACAATAACATCATTAAAAAAAATTATATCAATAAAGTAAAGAAATCTATGAAAGGTAAAATCTCTAATATTAGGAAATGGCATACTAATTATACCCAGTCTTTCGCCCTGATTTTTTAAATCTCATCTGGTTTTAATTTTCATGAAGGCTTCGTCAGGTTTCGCCCTTTGGCGTTTCCGATTTTAAGTTTCGTCTTTCAGCAAAGGGGTTTGGGGTTTCGTCGGGGTTTCTTATTTCGTCTTTCACCGCCTTTAGCAACTGTTTTCCGTCACTATACAGAAAAAATTTCGCATAACAACTATATTGCTAAATCGGAGGAATTTATACCCGAAAAACTTAATCCTAAAGAACAGGTTATTAAACTTGCTAAAGAAGAACAATTGGAACAAGCAGTTCAATTAGTTTTAGAATCAGAGATAAATTCTGAGTCTGAAACTACATGGAATGAATTGATTTCCGAATGTGTCAATAAGGGCAGAGTAAAATTAGGAATAAGACTGTTAAACGAGGTAAAATGATCAATCTGAAATTGCAACTCATTTTCAAAAAGTTAAACCAATTCCTG